CCAAGAACCTGAGAAGATAGCCCAGGGACCTAGGGGAAAACCAGACATTGCTACCAAGTTCTGCTAAAGGAATGTAGCAATAAGATGACGCCTAACAACATTCTGCTAGACTCATAGATCAGTGCTTTGCTCAGCCATCATCAGAGAAGCCTCCTCCTGCAGTAGACAGGAACAACACAGAGACCTGCAGCTGTACAAAGTGCAGAGTGAGACCCTGAAACACCCAGTCTTAAATGGCATGTCTAGATCAAGTCCCTCCCCTCAGGGAAACTGGTGGGTGGAAAAAGAGGTGGAAAGACATTGTAAGAGCCAGAGGGTCTGGAGGACACCATGGAAACAAGGCCTTCTAAACCCAGCAGAGCGGACACACTTATGAACTCACAGAGACTGAGGCAGCATGCATAGGTCCTGCCTGGGTATAAGCCAGATGGGGTCCCAGGGCTGAGAGGAGAAGTAGACACAAGCCCCCATCCATAACCCATCCCTATTTCCAGTTGGTGACTGCTTGCAAAGGAAAGAACAGTTTTCTCCAGCGGAGTCTTACTGGGTATACAAACGGCTCTTAGGGGAGGACCCTGTCTGGCAGTAGATGGGCAGCACCAAAGGAACTCAGTGTCGTCTTTGGAGGTTCTTTATCTCCTATGCTTTGTCGGGCTCCTCCTCCCCCTCCTCCTCCTCCTCCCCCTCCTCCTCCTCCTCACTTTGCAGGTCTTTTGTGTATATGTCATGGCTTCTGGTTTTATATTTTTGTGGGATTCCTGTGTGTGTGAACACGTGTGTCTGTGAGTCTCTATGTGTGTTTTCTTTGGCTCATTTTCTATTTGTCTGTCTGTTTTGTCCCTATCCTGGTTTGTCTGTCTTTGTTTTCTATTATTGTTATTCGCCTGACGCCTGCTTTCTAACGAGAGACAGAAAGAGTGGGGATTTAGATGGGAGTGGAGTGGAGGAGTGGAGGGTAGTGGAGAAGTTGAGGAAGGGGAACCATAATCAGAACATATTGTATGAAAAATTAGTTTTAATAAAATGAAGTGGATATAAAGGCAACCTAATGTTGTATACTCATGCATGTGGCTGCAGAGAAGTCTTATAATATTTCAGTGTTCCTGGGGATGTAGCTCAGTGGTAGAGGCTTGTCTAGCATTCATGAAGTCCTGGATTTGATCCCCAGCAGAACATTAAAAAACAAAAGGTTAAGATTACTTTGAGTTATGGAAGTTTTTATTGTTTTCATTGGTCTATATTTTCTGAATATCAACTGCATAGCAAGGAATATAATTTATAAAAAAAATTCCTTGAAGAAACAGAGAAGTCAAAGTGAGGAACTTGTTTTCAAGGAAAAATATAGAATTAGAATTTGGTTTGAAAAAAAAATGAGAGAGTGTGATCAATGAAATGCTGTCAGAGCAAACGGCTGACTGACCCTGAGGATGACACAGTTGAGCGGTTAAGTGCCTGAAAACGTCTTCTCCATTAGAGGGCGACATCTCCCATGTCGTTATCAGACAATCTTGTCGCATTCCAAGACCTAGAAAGACTATGGGAAAAGATGCAATTGGGAGATTTCTTTTGTCTCACAGAGGCTGCACTTTTCATCTAAAATGTTCTGGTTCCTTCCAAAGAACGCTGATCTGCAAAAGGAGAGATAAAGGATTTGAAATAGAAGAGGAATGGGAGAGCCAAAGAGGCCAAAGGGAGCTGTGGAAAGCAGGCCATAGAGCAAGCTGGGAGTGTGACCGCCACCGACTCCTGATGCAGGATGCTGGATACCCAGAGATTCCGCAGCCACACAGTCCCGTGATTGTATCTGTTGGGAGTGCTGGTGCCGTGACTTCTGTTCCTGAGACAAATACCCCGGCTAAATTCCATTCAGGGCTTACAGTGTCGGGTTATTGTCCACCGCTGAGTGACAAGGCAGGAACTTCAAGACAGGCAAGCTTGATATTATTCCAAAGTACATTATTCCCAACCAAGGAATTCACGTCACAGGCAAAGAGGTGTGGTGGGAAGCACGGAGAAGGATGCTTGCTGGCTGTCCAGCAGCCCTGTGTTCAGTTTTCTTACACAGGCCAGAGCCGATTGCTTGGGAATGGTACTGCCCACAGCAGGCTGGGCACTCCGACAACAGTAAACAGTCAAGGCGATCCCCAAAGGACGCACCTGCGGGAGAGTCAATGAGATTCTCTTACTAGACAATTGTAGATGGCCAAGTTGACAGCCAAAGCTAGCCAGGACTACTGGGTACTGAACTATGTGTTTGGTGTCAACATAGGTTCACTGTTTCAAAGGAGAGGCAGCTGGTGCCTGCCACACGTGCCGTTTGTAGAGCTGTGTCAGGTAGGTACCTCCGAGAGGAGTCTAAGGTAGAGAGTGTACGTGCGTTATCAAGCGCCCATGAAGGCAGATGGTGTAGGCAGAAAGATACTTTCAGTTTTCTTCACCTTGATAATTCTCAGACCAAAGCTTCTTTTATACAGAAACCCAGAGACAACGAAGAATGTTAGAGAAATAATTTCTACCCATCACTCTATGTCATAACACCAGAGTGCAGAAGACCAAATACTAAGCTTGCTTTTTTTTTTTTTTAATTTTTTTAAGGCCCCTTCTTGGGAAGAGGACTGTGAGGTGGAGAGAAGAATAGATATCAATTTATTATTTTTCACTGTCTGAGGTGTCAATCGCCCAAGGTTGAACTCTGTTGTTGCGGGGAATGTCAATGGCCCCTCATTGGTCCAGAGGAAGCAGGAGGTGAGGAGTTAGGTGGAGGCTATTGAAGGCTTATTGTGGCTGTTAGTGGTCCTATTTCCTGGAAGGCTGAGATAATGATGAAATAGAATGTCTTTCCCTTTTATGTCCCTTTGTGTCTGATGTTTTCAGTTGTTAAGTCAAGATTGAAAGAGAACAAAATAAAACCCTGGAAATAAAAGCAAGTAACACTCTCCTTGGTCTGTGCTGAATAGGGGAGAAAAGACTTGGGTTTTTCCACACCCGTGGGTATGGGTGTGTTTGGAGGGGCCTCTGTCTGGGCACATATTCAGGGTACACTGTTCCCATGAGCCCCAATGCTGATTTTAAAGGAATGCTTTCTGATTTCTGTTTTCCTTCTTCCTCTTCTCTTAGAGGGCCAGATGTAAGCAGTCCTTGACAAAAGTCATTCAATGCTTCCACTCTCAAGTCTAACCTCACCTATCATGGCCTCCTTTTGCCCACGAGAACCTCCTTTACTTTTACACATAAACAATTTAAGCTACTCCAGCATGGGAAGTCACCCACCCAGCCCACCTGGAAGACTTTCCTTCATCCTGCACTTCCTCTGACTTCTTGTCCTTAAGCCTAAATTCGTGTGAATGTTTTGTCTTGTTCCCCCTCACCGTGTCTTCATCCTCTCTTGGCCCTTTGACTCCTCCTCCCTTGGCCCCTGCTCATGTCTTCATCCTCCCTTTGGCCCTTCCTCCTTTGGTAGACTTTGTTTTGTTCTCAACTTTTGGCTCAGAGGTCTTCTGCTTCCCTTGTAACTGGTGTCTCTCAGGTTCTGCCCTTCTCTGTTGTTTCTGGCTTTGTCATACTAGAGTGGCTTTATTTATTTATTTATTAATTTTTTTTATCATCTCTGGTACTAGGCTAAGACCAGGCACAAGCATGCCCAAAACATCACCTTCTATTAGACCATAATAGAGACAGTACCAAATATTTCTAAGCTTCAAATTTTTTCATACAAGAATGGGCATATGGACCATGAGGCCTAGATCTGCATTTCCAGTTCCCTCTAGTCCATCTCTAGCTATAAATGCAATGTGACCCAAAGCAAAAGCCTCAGCATCATGGCTCTCAACCTCTCCCTCGATCAACAGTGCGGTGAGCATCTCTCTAGTGTACACATAGCAGGAGGCATGGTATTAATCCCCTTGCTTCCCTCAATCTCTCCATCTCATAGATCTGCAACTCTATCTCCTATCTATCAGGAATAGCGCTCAGAACCGTCAGTGCTCACTGCCCTCCAAGGCTGCCCCACTCACCCAGCAAACACTGTTTTAGCCTTTGCTTTCTTCCTCTAGGCTCTGCACTGCATTCCTTCTCTAACCCGCTGCCTGCATGAGCCTCTGAAAACACCAGTCTGACCACGTCTTACCTGTCCTAGAAGACACCAGCAGCTCCCCTGTCTACCAGGGCAAAGCTCAACCATTTGAAAGACACATCTGATTTTGTCTACACCCTGTGTACTCTGCCTCATGCTGACTCCTCTCACCCAGGTGCCTCTTCTCTTTACCACGTGCTCTCCCGAGTGTTCCCTGTGAGGTCTCTGTGTCTTCTGTTTTCAGTGCTTCCTCCCTTCTCCCCCACAGGGCAACATCCTCCTGGGTGTAAAACACACCCCAAGCTTGCGTCTTCACTGACTTTCTTTGGTCTTTTCGGGGACAGATCTTTTTACCTCACCCACTCTCAGAACGTGGAGAACGCTGTCCCCTTCTGTTAGAAGTCTTATCGCATTGCATCCTAGGCATTCCAGAGCTGCCTCATGATTGAGCAAGGAAGGGCTTCTGCTCAGCCTCGAAACCATCTCAATAGCTTATCACACAACACCTTGACCAGAGCTCAAGAACTATGTATGGCATGAAGGGGAGGGGCGCCAGGAGGAGGTCAGCAGGACCAGAGTTACAAGGCAGAACTAGCCTTGTGTGGGTGTGTGAAAGCGGTATTTGTTCGGGAACCCAAAAGACTCAAGATATTGATTACTATGGCATGAAGAGGAGGGGCGCAGGACCAGAGTTGCCAGGCACAACTAGCCTTGTGTGGGTGTGAGTGTGAAAGCGATATTTGTTCGGGAACCCAAAAGACTCAAGAGAGTGATTACTGTAACCATTTCTAAACCACCAACTTTTTGACTGGAGTGTTCCAGATGAACAGATCCGCTTGGGGGCAGCAGAGTCACTCACACCTCTACCAACGGGTGTATGATCTGCCTGGTCTGGCCAGATTGCTCTTTCGCTTTCATTGGTAGCTTCTCTCTGTCTAGGGCTCAAACTGGAGGTCCCACTTCTTCAGGGATTTAATGTTAAGATGAATAAAATGAATAAAAAAACATATGAAGAAAGTTAATCAAAATTTGTTTGTGCCTGAACACTGGAGGAGGTGTAAATCTCTCAACAGACTACTGAAAATGAAGATACTTCCCATAGCAACATTATGCGTGAAGATGGGCGACACCTCTTCCTGATATTTCCTGGTAATGTGAGAGGAGTCCTGAGGAAAGTCATGCTTGTGCTTCCATGATCTCTCTGCTAGTTTAGGACAAGGGGGTGGTTATTGCTCTCACTGAGCTTTAATAGGAGTCCTGATTTTTCTATATGTATGGTCTCTCCATCACATTCCTTTTTGAGCAGGCAGCTACAGTCCGATGGTATGGCTTGTGGTTAGTAACACCTCTTTAGTTAGTTTGTGAGAGAGACTCAACTGAGATTTTTCTTGTTCTCTGTCTTTGAAAGTAGGCATTACTAAGCAATTCAACTTTTAGATTCTCCGAGGAAAATTCTTTCCTAGGAGAGGTAAGTGGCTGAAGAAAATGTCGCCAAAATTAGTTTCATTTTGGGCTCTGCAGACCCAATGGTAGCCACAGCAACAGATGAAGGCAGTAACTTAATGAATGGCTTCAGGAACGAGCTCTTCACCGAGATGTGAAGGAGTGCTCCGTGAATCTTAGTTTATAATTACAGCCTGATTCTTAGGGGGCACTTTCCAGGTGAGTATCTCCAGGCTTCATTCCTCAGGTGAGCCTTCCGCTTGACTCTGTTCCGTCTGCTGCATGCCCTGAACCCTCGCCCTGCGGTTTATTTGCTGATGACGATTTAATTATACATGCCAGGCTTGAGAGATCTCAATGATGAAGAATTATAATACTTTGTTCTATTAATCTTCCTAGTCTCTCTCTCATTTAAGGAAATCAAAATGTTTCTTGTTAATTCTCAGTATACCTACAGGAGCTTGGCAGGGAATGTTAGAAGGAAATAGAGTTATAATGATGGCAATCGGCCGCCTCAGTAAGCAGCAATTAGGATGAGCATTGGGAGGTTTGGGTGGCTTGTTATGCTTAGTTAAGGTTAGCTTAGACCGTAAGCCTGACCTCTGTTGTCTATTTTAAGGCAGGCACACCTGATCATTCCTTGTGTTCATCAGCGTATATTCAGGAAATATTGTTCCCCCATCTAATGTGCAAGGAGCAAGAACAAACTTTGTTCTACATTTTTGGAAATGTATATTATTATTTTAAATTTTGTGTATGTGTGTGCATGTCCACTGGGTATGTACATGTGAACGCTGTGGCTGAGAGGCCAGAGGAGTCAGAACCCCTGGAGTTGGGGCTACAGTTGTTTGTGAGCTGCTCAACTTGGGTGGTGGGACCTGAACTTGGGTCCTCTAAAAGAGCAGTATGTGCTCTTAACCACTGGGCCATCTCTCCAGCTCCCATATATTTCTCATTAATCTGTGAGATGACCGCTCTTTCCACCAAACTATAGGACTCATCAAGATTCACAGGTGAGTGGGTGGCCCAGACCGTGGAGATTTGGAGCCTAAGGTTGTTGGCTTTTCCTAAGAAAGTCTTCACTGTAACCAAGGCTGCAAGTTCTACTGAAAAGGAGAGAAACAGGGAAAACTAGAGCAACAGTGGTGGTCTGGAGTCTGATTGATGCTGCCCACAGCTTCAGTGTCCTTAGCAATGGGTTCCCCGTCTCCGGTGAATGACAGTGATAAGAGTTTTATTGAACTGGTCTTTTACGGAGCTGGGAACTGGGAAGGCAGCAATGAGGTGGGGAGGGACGGAGGATTATGTGAATGCATGCCTTCCCAGGATGGGTCACAGAAAAACATGTACCTGCAGCTAAGGTAAGTATCGGACCATGAGGACTCGGTGGAAGCAGATGCCTTCTCTAAAAACAGCAAAATCAAGCCAGTGGCCATGGGCCCGATCTGTTTCTAATAGTTGTTCTGTGGTAAGCCGAGGTAATTGGGTCTGTATAAAAAGGGCGGCGCCAATCTCATTAGAGCAGTCTGAGGAGAGTTCGTGTTTGGAGGAGACTATGTTCTATTTTCCGTGCCCTGGAGGTTCTCCGGCATTGTTCAGCTAAATTTAGGTTGTGTCTTTTTAATTACCACTTTCCCATCACGACCCCATTACTGCCTCTGAATGATGACTTTATTCATTTTTCACTTAAGGGTAATGAACTGCTTGCTTAATCCAGCTCCGTCATTCAACTTTGTCCCAAGGAGTTTCTTTATAGACAATTTCCATTTTAATCAGAAGTGAAAGGGACTGTTGCCTTTAAAGTGGACCAACCGTGGGCTTACTAGGAATTTTATCAGCTTTGATCTTTATCCAATTTAACTTTCTACCAAGGCTTCCAGTAAAGTTCTTTAGCCTGAAGAAAGTAGAATTCACAGTGTGGCAATCCTCCAAAACTCCCCAAGAGAAATGTTGGGGAAGCCAATTGAGAGGATAGAAGATAAGAAAAAGAGAGACTAAACTCCTGGTCTTGGTCTATGTGGCAGTGGGGAGCTGGGAATACCTTCCAGAAGCATCTGGAACAAATCCTCAACATGACTTCATGTTGACACATTCCTTTGGCTAGCCAAGGTAATATTGACAAACAGTCTTGCCTCACTATCTACAAGCTCAATAACAGCCGGGCTGAATGTGATTGATTGGCATGCAGAAGGCCCAGTCAGTGTGCTGGGCTGAATGTGATTGGCACAGAAAAGACCCAATCAGTGTTCAGCCCTAAATAGGCCTAGCTGCATCTATGGTGATATTGACAGCCAGTGTAGATGGCTGGGCAGCAAGCAAAGCCTTCTGTTGTCCAGATTGTGCCGATCATAGTCTGGGCTTGGCTTTTACAGCTTCCAGATTGCTTCTCTGGCCTTTGAATGTTCAATTAGGATGCCGGCAGCCCTTCTGTATTTATGGACCATCCTCCGCTCTGACCAGAGCCCTCACCTTCCTGTTCTCTTAGTCATCCTCTCCAGTTAGATTTCCCAGAAGCTATCTTTCCATATCTCCAAACTCCCCCAAGATCCTCGTCTGTTTCTTTCCTTTCCCTTCAATAAGCTTGTTGAGATCTAATTACATAGTAAATGTCACATACTTAAGCGTAGAACGTCAGAAGGTTTGACGTAAGCATTTACTCAGGGAGATTATCAGCTCCATCAAGATAGTGAACCTATCTCACCCTGAAAGGTTCATGACACCCCGGGTAAAGCTCTCTTTGTCTTTGCCCAGGTCTTCACTCTGGGGTTTTGTGTAAATGAAAGTTTGTGTGTGTGTGTGTGTGTGGGGGGGGTCTGGTTTATTTCACTCAGCACAAATACAATATTTGGAGGTTCATCCATACTGTTGTGTGTATCTAAGATGCATTCTTTTTTATTGCTGAGGGCTAATCCATTTCTATGGGTACACCATACTTTATTATACTTATTTATTGAGCAATCGTTCCTTTTATTCAATAAATCCATAGTTTTAAAAGCTGGGAGAGCTTTCAGATCTCTTATCCAGGAAGATCATTGTGCAGATTAGTTATCTGAATGAAGCCAGACCACTCTTCAAGACTTTGCTTGGTGGTAATTTATTGACTTCCAGTAGTAAGACTGGCCCTGAGGATGCATACTTGTCATACCAGTCTCTGAGAACTCTAACCCAGGTAGATTATGTACATGAAGAGACTGAACCAAGTAATTTCTTTTTTTAGATATTTTTTTGTTATGTAGCCCAGACAGCTCCAGCCTCATCAATGCTGAGATTATAGTTGTGTGACATCATGCCCCCTACCCCAACTAATTGAATATTTGTTCAAGGTCATAGAAGGTTAGGATGTAAATACTATTTTTGAATTTTAAATTCAGATTTCCTTTCCCTACATTGTGTTGATACTGTAACATCAGACCCAAGAAGCCTGAAACCATCTGTAACATGAATCACTTTGCCTTCTAAGGAAAAGACAATGTTCCAGGCTGTGATTCTGAGCTACACTAATAGCAAGCCCCTCCCCCTCCCTATTTCTTTTTTGTTATTATTACCAAAGTGTCAGTATCAAAGGCAGCACAGTAAAACAGTCCCTTGAGATTAGAATTACTTCACTTTAACAAATAGTCACGCCCACCCTCCAGATTTCTTGACTTCATTGTATTTTAATACAACTTTGACTAAGAGTGCTGTCACTAGTGGTTTCTCTGTCTTAATTTTATGAATGATGGCTTTGTCTCTGTGACCTCAAATTTTTAGATATACCTAGAGCCAAGCAGGACACACAGAGCAGGACTCGCAGGGACAAGGGCACAGCGACCACAGATGCTATTCTGGTAATCTTTTCCAGATCTCTTTTCTTTGGTATTTGGGGAGGAAGGCACGATGCCTAACTTGGTGTGTTTCCTCTTCAGTTATAATTTCAGTGGGGAGGAAGCCACGACGCCTAACTTGGCCTGCTTCCTCTTCAGTTATAATTTCAGTGATCTTGGTGTTGCCATTCTCCAAAACTGAACATCTGAACTCAACCCGGATGAACCAGTTGACATTTGCTGGCTGAGAATACTGCTTCCACAGGGCAGAACTTGTGAGAGACCAAGAGCCAGAATAGCCTTTGAAAGAGGAGGGGATTATGGCTCCAGAGCACCCAATCAAAAACAAACAAACAAAATTTTAATTCCCTTAGATAATGTAGGCATTTTCTTAACAATTCTTCCCATATTTCAATGAGGCGATTTAAATGTGCTACCTTTGAAGACCTGGAATGAAAGCAAGCTTTTGTCTCAGTGGATGAGACGAAGTCAGACTTCTGGCATCCCTGCACAGAGCTGAGGGAGGCTGCACCACACAGGTGGACCTCCTGGACTCCTGGTCACTGGACATGGAGTCCCTTGCTCTTCTTATTAGATCCTCATTGTGAGCTACAGGGTCTAAAGCAGCCTCTGCCATTCCTGTTTACATTTCAGCATTAACAGTGGCGTGAAGGCCTTTGTCTTGGAGTCACAGGCTTGGCAAAGAGACGGAAGTTCTAGTCTGGGCTCATGTAGTGCTGGTGGACCCTTGGGCAAGTCATTTAACCTTTCTGGGTCTATTCCCTCGTCTGTAAAATGGTAGTGATGATAATAACATGCACACTTGTGAGTGGCTGCAGGGTTTACAGATGGTATCAATAAAGTGCCTGGTCCATAAATGGTGATGGAATGCCAGACTTGCAGGTGTCAGGAGTGCTGGGCATGGAAACTGACTTCTTCAGTGCAAGTGACCAGGGGCCACACAGCCCACAGGGATAGGTAGGAAGCTGTCCCCTCAGCTGGGGTGGTTCTGTGTTTTCTGCCCTTGTACTTGTACCTCATGTCTGCCAGGCTTGGCTAGTCTAATCATGGAGCTTAGGTTGTTGGAGCATTTTTGAGAATCACAAAGCTAACCTGGTTGGGTGTTGACTTGAGAAAGGACTCTGCCCTATCTGTGAGGCTAGCTGTTTAAACACTGCTGTATTCGAGACACAGTTATAGAAGATGTACATGCACAGGATGACAAATCGTTTCCACAAATGTGACAAGGAAATTAATCTCGTTGCTTTATGGTCACACTTCTATGACAATGTGGTTTTACTTTGCCAAACTGTATATCTGTGTTTATGCACATATACATGCTCCTTGATGGCTTATTTCTGTGCCCAACCAAAGCCAAGTACAATAAAAAACTGTCTCTTTACAATCCAGTTTGTTATTTCTCGCTCGTGTTGTGACATAAGCACTCACTGTGATTTCTGCTCTCCGGTAATGAGGAGCTGTGACAGACATTAGCAGAAGAGGCTTCTGTGGAAGGCTCCCCAGATTTTCTCACGCCTCCCTCCAAATTTGATCTGCTGCAATGTTTTTAGTCTTGTTATTACAGTGTTGGAGTGGAGAAGTATCATATAGAGAAAGAAGAGAGGACAGCTGTCAGGACAAATTCAGAAGAACGTTCCAATGCCCGGGGAGGTTCAGCGAGTTCGCTCTTGGCCTTGTTGCCTATAATCAGTAATTAGCAACTCATTGATATGGCATTTGCTAAATTCCTCCATTATAGGTAAGGACTATTGAAACTGCATTTAGCCAGTAGGAAAACACTGCCGTATTCACTGTAGAATAAATTTCCAGCTCCAGGAGGAGGAGGAGGAGGTTTGCCTGAAGCTAACTGGTTCCTGGGAATCAATAGTCTCATTAGACCCAGAAAACTGGATCCCTAGGTTTAGCAGAGTGGTATAACTGCTGCTTCATCCACCCGTAGGCACCCACCTTCGTGGAGAGATGAAGGATTTTATTGTTTTTTATTTTATTTTTATTTTCTCGGTGCTCAAATCTGAACTCATTCAGAAGCTGTCTTACAAATGCTGGGCTTATCACTGAAGTCTCCACTGCCCCTGACCTGCAGCTTTGCTGAGGTCCCCTCCCTATTAGTCAGCGCCGGGTTAATCTGGTTAGTTTTAGAAAAGAGAGAAGGGAAATATGTTTAGATTCACCAGGACCTCTGTTTTCCAGCCTACAGCTGTGGTATCCAGAAATACATAGCAAAACACATGCAATTTCCTTCCTTTCTCCAGTGCCTGCCTGGAAGCCCAGTATCTGCAGTTTCTCAAACCCAGGAAACACCACACTGTGCATCTGCTCCAGCGCCGACGGCCAGGTGTGCTGGGGACCTTAGCTGGTGAGGCTGCTGGAAGGCGGCATGTTCCCGTGCAGAAGAGCTCAGCTTGAGCAGAAAATGGATACAAAGCCTGCACTGGGAAATGACTCAGCATCTGCAGAACTCAGCTCAGAAGGCATCCTTCACCTCGGCCCACCGGCTTCTTTTTTTCTGAACCAAAATATTTCTGGAATTGCTGGTGGTCTGAATAATGCCAATAGCTCAGGAGAGCTAGAAGTTGGGCCAAGGATATTGACGTGGTTGTGAGGAGGACTTGGTCAGTAGCTCAGGAGAGATAGAGAGTGGGTCAGAGATACTGACGTGGTTGTGAGGAATTACTTTTGAAGGGCTAAGAGAACTAGTGACTACAACCTTGATAGCTTACAATAACAGAAATTTGTTCTTTCATGATCCTGGAGGCTAAAATCTGAAATCAAGGTGTTTGCCAGGCCATGCTCTCTCCAGGGGACCCAGGGGAGACACCCCCTGCCTCTTCCAGTTTTTAGTAACTAATTTTGTAGCTAGGTCACGCCCATCTTGTTCCTGCCTTGACATGGCTCCTCCTCTATTGATGGTATGTATCAAATTGATTTCTGCTTAAAAAACATTATTAATAAAGATATTTGTCACTAGACTTATGCACTGTTCAGTCAGTCAAGGAAAATCTCAGCTGAAGAGCCTCAACTGTATTTGCAAAAACCGCTTTCCCACATACAGCTGCACTAACAGGCTGATTACAGACCTTGCGGATGCTTGTTTGGAGGCCACTGTAAGTCGGCGTAGTGACCTGGTGAAGGTGCTGGTTGAGGCAGACCTAGCAAGGATGAATCCTAAATCCTCCAAGAGCGTAGTGAATGACGTTGTGGTGGGCAGCGCCTGGAGAGGGGACATCAGCGGGGACGCTGTTCTTGCCATTTAGTGCTGGACACCAAGTTCAAGCTACAGCTCAGAGAAAGCAGAGCTGTGACCTTGCCATTTTTGTGTCACATCACTCAGCCTCGAGATTTCCAATAGTGCCATCATGGTTATTCGATTAGGAGTCATGAAAACGAATAAAAACCTACAGCTTTATCTGAGCTGGGCTTTAGATTATTATATCATCTTTATAAAAATTTTACCTTAAAATGCTTCAGGATAAACAGTATGATTTATGAAGGAAATTAATTTTTCATTTGTATCCTGGCAGCACTTAGTGTTTGAAGTATCGTGATCAGAAATGTGCACTCCAGGCACGATTACTGAGCACTTCACAATTTTCTGTGAAAGCTGCTCTTGAGCATTTGTTAATTAGTATGAGAGATGTAAAAATAACTTTTCATTAATGAATGAGTGTCAAGTCCCACTGGCTTTGCATGGGAACAACTTCTGGGAATCTGACAAGGTCAACCACATGCTCTCCTTGGAGGAAACGCTTGGGTGAGAATTCCTGTAGAGTCCACAGTTCACAGAACACCTTTGCTGATCACAATGGTACCTGTTTCCAACATCCAAAGTGGTGACCACTGACTCCGAGCAGGCCAGCCATGCAGAGCATGTTGTTGCTATTCTGAGGGCAGAACATGGAACTTTCCCCAGTTGAACAAATGAGATCGACTGAAGTTGTGTCTGTTTCCTGATACACATATGAATATTTGCCAAATCTGGCCTAAGACTCGGGAAATTGTAGGCAAGCTGAGGTAGACTCTTCTACCACCAAACCAACTATGTTTACCCTGAGTTTTGAGTGTCTGTGGAAAGACCACATTGGCTTCAGTAAATTTGCAATAGAATCCTTCAGTTTTTGAACTCAGATTTCCGCAAGGATTGGCAATACAGTTCTAGGTGTCCAAGAAAGGAGACGGATCTGTGGACTTCCATAAATCCATAGGCTGTGTGATCTTTTCATCACCAACCTGAAGTCCATGATCTGCCTGAAACGATTGAAACTGCTTGTACGATATTTTGTTTGTGTTCTGACAAATAAAGCTTGCCTGGAGATCAGAGGATGGAGCTAGCCACTAGTTAAAGAAAGAGAGGCCACGGCAGTGGTAGCACACACCTTTAATCTCAGCACTTGTGGGGAAGAAGCAGGAAGATTAAGAGTTGAAGGCCACCCTGGGCTACATGCAATTGATTCAGTCTAAAAGAGAAACAGAGCCAGGTGGTGGTGGCTCACACCTTTAATCCTAGCACCTGGGAGGCTCATGCCTTTGATCCCAGCATTTGGGAGGCTCACACTTTTGATCCCAGCACTAGGGAGGTGGAGACAGGAATACAAGGCGGGTGGAGACAGGACCTCACCCCCCATTTGGTCAGAGGATCTGGGGAGACTAATTAGGATCACATTTCAAGGTTGTATATGGAAGCAAGTGGAAGGATCAGCTCTTTTGAGAGACATGCTTGCAATTAAAAATGCATGCACTGAAGTGGACTGCAGTGCTGTGTATACAACAGACTCAGTGATAGATGGATATGTGTGCTTGTCATGCACAGGTGCCTCGATGAGGGGAGACAGCTTTGTGGAACTTCATAATGATCAACACTTGAGGACTAGGGGCTGATGAGGTGGCTTACTGGGTAAAGGCGTTTTCTGCTAAGCCTGATGACCTGAGTTCAATCCCTGGATCCCACATGGTGGAAGGAATAAAAATCTCCTCCTACAAGTTTTCCTCTGACTACTACATGTGCACTGTGGCACAAGTGTGCATATATGTGCATGCACACACACAAAATAGATGTAGTAAAAACTGAGGACTGAATTATAATTATTTGGAATTTGCCTTATGTTAATGCTGTTATTAATGATAACATTTACAAATCAATGGCATGCTTGATATTTCAGGTAACAGTTATTACCAGAAAAATAATGGTTTTCTTAATTTTGTGTGATTTAAAAGCTTTTAATAATGTTTCACGGATTTAGAAACTATAAAAGGAGGGGTCTAATAATTTAACCATAAAGCTGGTTTTACATATCTTAAAATCACGTGCATCCATATTTTACTGCAACAAATGGAAAAATTATGAGACCAATGGCAATATGATAAATATATATTATGAGTAAAACTCTCTAACTAAAACATTTTATGTTTCTATGATTAAAATTTACATATAGAAGAGAAAATGGCTTTCATAAATGAGGCAAATAGGTTGGGTTTAGGAAAGAATGTAAAATCCTGGCTGCCTACTTTATAACAGCTAAGTCTGGTTTTTCACTCTGTCCAGTGAAAGAATTAAAAACTTGGTAGAAGCAAAAAACATAGTAAAACTTTTTACTGCAATTGTTCTTCTGCAGAAGTTTGTATAGAAACCAAAAGCTCGTCATTTGAAAACAGAGCTAGTAATCACTAGGAACAGACTCACTGGGTTGCCAGGGTCTCGGGTGTACAACAGAAGGGCCAGAAAAATTCACTTTCATGAGAAGAAATGGGAGGAATAAGAGAAGAAAGCGTGACAAACAGAAACCAAGCCAGTGAGAAGACCTAGGTTTTGTTTCTGTTTTAAATGTTTTGAGACAGGGTCTCACTGCAAAGCCCTGACTGCTTTGTAGACCAGGTTAGCCCGGAACTCACAGAGATCTGTCTGCTTCTGCCTCCCCAGTTCTGAGGTTAAGGGTGTGCACCACCACACCTGGCCTGAGTTGTTTTCTTTTGATCATGGATGGTAGAGTCTCATCAGCTGAGGCTCTGTGGATGTCCCACAATTCTGTTCTCCAAACTTTCACATCAGCAGGGACTGTGCAGTCGGCCCTAGTCCACTCAAGGCAGCACTTTTAGTTCACACTGCTCTAGCTGTGTCCTGTGTGATTTCACACTGAGCAGAACTTCTTCTCTCGGGGACTGATGGGTCTTAGGTCCCATCAAAGATGAAAATACCTCATCTCCCTTTTGTCCTGACAACTTTTGAAAAGCCTGAAGACTGCTTCCATCTTCCTTTCCTGTCTTAAAGCGCTAATCCTGAGAGTCTTGAGTCTGAGGTTTGGCTGGCAGGATTCTGGACTGTTCGACAGAAACTCTGTCCAGATGGTTGAGGTGGAACAAACTCACAGTCTGAAAAAGACCTTCCTGACATAGATTTATTACTTTCTTTGTCTTATTCTGTTTGATCAAAGACTTAACAATAAAGGTTCTAATGCAATTTTCCAATGCTTTGTTCTCAAGTGAAAGCTGAATAAAATCTGACTGTTGTGATTTGTACCAAACTTTTAAATAGCAATTTTAATTAATCATTAGCTCCAACATATAGCCTTAGTTTTACGACGCAACAAAGAATAAATGAGAGGTCCACAGAAGTTTTGGCAATGCTTAGGTTAAACGACAAGGGCCTACTGAATGTTGGATATTTTATTTTTAGAACTGTAGTGACAGTCTAACAGAAACTTGCACTGCCATGGCAAGACTAGAAATGACCTGGTGAGTATCCTCTGGGGCCATCTGCTTGTATTACAGTTAGAATGAACACCCAGGACCAAGTCTAGAGGAGTCCCAAGAGTTAGTCACCTTTCATCATCCAGAAATGGTGGGAGTGGCTGCCTGATGGAGAGATGGACTCAGCCCCCAGGACAGCTGCTTCTATAAGTCTGGCAGTTCCTTCTCACACCTTGATAAATACCAGCAACTTTGCCAAGGGGTATATTCTTGGAAGTCTGTTTATGCATATTAGAAATGTCTTCATGAATCCATTGATAAAATTGGTAATGGTAATGTTAAACCCAGAGTCTCCCAAAGACCACCAAGAGACCAAATCCGATGCAAAAGCAAAGAGTCTTTTTATTGCAAGTTGACTTGGGACTCTCTGTCCATCTGACGCAGCAGCAGAGCAGGAGAGACCCCGAGTAACAATGGGGCAGGGTTTTTAGAGCAAAGGGGGCTTGGGATCTACAGACTACACAGGAACAGACTCAGGATTGGTTTATGGGAGTGGCAATCACGTTAGTAACTTTTAATTGGTTAGTTGGGGGTTACAGTTACCATTTTTGGGTAGGCCTGGATAAGTCCCAGACTTTGTCCTTGAGCTGCCATGGAGGCTGGCTGGCCTAGCACGTACTGACTGTGGGGGTTGACTCAGTGGCCCAGGCTTTCACATTGGCCTATGCACGCAGCTCTAAGTTGGACAGTAAACAACTGGCTGAACCCTGATGGGTCAGAGTACGTGCAGAAAGGGAGCTACTGCAAGGACTATGTCTTTTGTTCACGGCCCTCCCAGAAACTGCTTACTCAAGTCTCAGGAAACTGAACTCAAGGCCTGACGTCTGAGGGAAGACTGAGAGCAGCCTGTTACAGCGTCTGCCTGGTGCTCTCAGTAACTGGATCTGTTGCATGCTTGTCTAGGCATGGCTGCTTTTGCAGGCACAGGGTTCACGTATCTCAAAGGTTCAGATTCAAGGAGCCATCAGAGGACCCCAAATGGGTGGAGATCTGACATCGTCGGGTTTCCAGAACAATCTCTATGACAACTTTCTGTGCTTTCCTTCCTGGACATGTGGCATATTTCTACCGTCTTACTCAGCTTCCTGTCACTGTGACAAACTATGGGAGACGCAGTATAAAGGAGGTCAGGGTTCTTTGGGCATGTGGTCTGAGCCCCAGGTCAGCTGGGCCCACTACCTCTCACCTCGAGGTGAAGCAAATACCACAGTGTTGAAGGCCGGTGACACAGAAGCCCTTTGCCTCGTGGTTGTCAGGAAACAGAAACACAGGAAGTGGTTGGGGTTCCGGTATGCTTCAAAGGCACAACCCCAATGACCTACTTGCTTCAACCTGAGCCTGCCTCCTAACGTTTCTGTCATTTCCCGCTAGCTCCCCCAGCTAGAGAACAAGCTGCTTTCACACATAAACCTCTGGGAGATGTTCCAGATCCAAACCACCACAGCACCATCTGCGACTCGCTCGCATTGTACCGTTATATCTGGTAGCGAGAACTGAGAGGGGAAAAAACCCAGCCCTAAGCTTCTGACCGACCTCTCGTTGCTAAGGGTGTGTGACTGGATTATTGCTCACAAGTGCCAGGTTGCGTACCCTTGCCTGTCCCTCGACTTGGACGACAGACGTCCTTCAGCGCGTTCACGACACAGATGAGGCCGGGCTTGTTTTGTGAAGCGTCTCCTTGGGCATCTCTGCTAAGATGGCGATAGAAACATACTCTGTGGGCCTTAGACAAACCTAGAACAGACCATAACCAAGCTGCTGCTTAGAGTCACTCAACTGAAATCAATTGTGTGGATTTTATTGTTACTTAAGGTTTTTGTTGTTGTTGTTCCTGTTAGGTAGTGGTAAATGACTGCCATATAGACCGCCAACGTTCAATACCGCTAACACCCGATGACAATGAGTCTTGAGTCACATTCGGTCCCCCACACTTTGTAAATAGGATCTTTTCAGTCCTTACAACTAACCTGGGAGGAAAGTCCCTCTACACCTACTGTAAAGGTCTATCAGTGAGTGCTGCCAGATGAAAGTCATTTGGCCTAGATCCCAAGCAGGGAGGGACAGAACCTGAGTTAGTGCCACCCCGTTTGTAGAGTCCATTTTCCATCTTCCGTTTTCCCACGATGCTCAGTCTGGCTGGCTTGCTCAGCTGAGCTGAACCTTAGCTAAAGCTCTGTCCACGTACTCAGCGAGAGGGACAAAGTGAAGTGCAATCCAGCACCCGTGCCTGTTCAGCATGCATTAAAGAATGCTGTGTACCACCAGTGCGTCGTGAGACATCCCCAAGAGGTGACGGTCAGTCAGCGCGATCCTCACTGTCACAGCCTCCTGTTCCTCCTTCATCATGGGTGTGCTTCATACAAACACGCCTCACATCTTGTTCGCTGTCATCTCACCCCGTGTGTGCAAACAGCTCTAGACAAAGGAAAGATTTTTAGAGACACGAACACCTTTTAGCGTGCGACCATAGCCTTTGAATGCGGATTTTTTAGACCTGACAATTATTGAAATGTCAGTAACAACTACTTTCAAAAATAAAGTCAGCTGGGGGCTAGAAAGATGGCTCAGCAGTTAAGAGCACACACCATGTTCTTCCTGAGGGCCAGAGTTAGTTGCCACGGTGACCCACAACTGTCTG